CACCATACTTTAATTCGAATTGAACTATGAATAGGAAGAGTATGTATGGACATTCGACAACAGGGATTAAATACATGCTTGGTTGTTTAAATTGTTCTTCTATACTTAATGGGTTCCTAATGCTTAATTTTAGGTTAGACAACAAATGATCAAATTAGGGAATTAGGAACACAAGGTTATGACCATACATCATGGCTTAATCATACTTTAGCTAGAATCAATCCGTTAATCTAATTGAACTTGAGAACTTATTTGCTTGAGTTATTTCCTTTTTTTCTTGTTTTATTTATTTTCTTTTTCATTTCTGTTTTGTGTAGGGGAAATGAATTGGATCATTCAATCACCAATCCTTGTGGGATCGACCTCGCACTAACATATGCTATATTACCAAACGGCTCGTGCACTTGCGAGTATCACAAGTTGAGGATGCAGCTGAATCCATTTTGGTACAGCTGAATCGACGCAACAATGATCCACATAGGCAATGCCATCATCAATCTTAACATCATTATCTTCTTCTAGAATCATCCCAATTCCTACCAGAATAGCATATAGCTTTCCATTATGAATAGGGAGATAAATGATATGCAAAGATTGAGGGAGATGATAATATTTCGTAGGCTAAATTGTAGTAATGGTCCCTCAAATAAGGCCTTACTTTACTTTTCGTCCCTCAACCTCAAAAATTATTACGGTGGTCCTTTAATTAAATATCGTGGATCATGAATCGTGAATCGGAGCCCCGGATGTTCCGATTCAATAACTTAAAGTTTGCGTTGAACAATAACCGTCCGATCATGCAATCGCGAGCGATCCGACTGTTCGATTCGGACCAAACTTGCAGGACATGTTTAGTAAACCTTGTTGAACCCATAAGAACTTTCGTATCGGAAATCAGAGGTCATGAGCCTTGCGGGACAGGTTGACCAAGTTTCGACAATTTGACCCTCGGTTGACCATGAGTCTTCCGAGGTAGTTTCACCCTTCGTGAAGTACTAGCACGACCGTGTGAACACATCTTGACCGTTATTTGAGTTATTTTGATTATATTGGGAGTATGAGCTTGTTTATATTATCTTATGTAATTCTTGGATATTATTTTGATAATTGAAATCACGGAATAGATGAGTATGGGAGACTTGATTTGGTGGGTTGTGAAAGTGAACCTTGGGCTCGGCTATGATTATTAGGAAGTAAGTGGACTTTGTTTTCAAATATTATTCATTATTTTCAAGGATAGAAAAATATGCATATTGAGTCCTTTGACTTTGAGTTGTTATATGTTTTGAAGCAGAAATATAGTATGATTACAAGAGTATTGGATTTATTTTTGTATATTTGAGGGATGTGATTATTCTGAATGAATTTGTACTATTTTTGTGTATGATTATTTATACTTGGATATGTGTTGATGTGCATATAGGGTTGTTGGAAAGGGTTTATGAAATGTGGATTGGGTTGTGGTTTATGTTAGTTCGAGTGCTATTAGCACTACCTTATGTACCTCACCGATCATGGAATTTATGCTTGAGAGTTTATTGTCTATACTTTGAATATGTATTTGGAAAAAATTGAATTAAGGAAGGGAATATTATTTTTATAATATTTATATAAGAGTTACGAACTCCACCATCATATGTACATTCCCTGGTCACTATACCCATACGTTGCGTTAGATTTTCTGGCGTGTGGGCTTCCTTGGTTACAAATTCTTGAAATTGTGGATATGATTTGGATATGTTGGAACTTAGGGCACCCTTGAAGGGGTGTTACCGTAGACCCTTAACAGGGTAGTCTGTGCGCGTAGGACTTGTCACAGGCGTACGAGTCTTGAGGATTCGGTTGTACGTGCTGGTAGAGTTAGTGCCCCTGTTGGACTGCTCTTTTCCTAGCCACATGTTCAATTGAGGATTCTTCCATGTGGACTAGTCAAACAATCATCGGTTGGATTGTTTTCCTCAGTACATGATATGCATCATCATCATATGTACCTCACATTGGATACTGATGCTTGGAAACAGTGGAAATGGATACATGGATATGGATACGCGGATATGATCGGAACCCGGCACCTTTAACGTGGTGTTTCGTAGACCCTTTGGTCGGGTAGTCTGCGCGCGTAAGACTTGTCACAGGCGTACTAATCTTGAGGATTCGGCTGTACGTGCTGGTAGAGTTAGTCCTCCGTTTGGACGACTCGTCCCTGGCCACATGGTTGTTCAGGATTCCTCCATATGGTCTAGTCGAACGATCCCCAGATTGGATTGTTTTTCCCCTTGTACATGATGATGGTAGGAGGTGGGTGTATTTATATATATATACGTGGATTCGTTCCCTGGTTGAGATTCTTGAGTTTGTGCTTTGTGAGTACCCTGCATATGGATGAATGTTTAAGTCATGGATTGGGAAGTGTTGTTCGGCAACATACGCCTTAGATAGGGTATGGTTGCGCGGAAAGAGCTGATAAAAGGAAAGGAACTCATAAAGTGTTCAGGGGTTGCCTTGTCGAATTTGATGTAGTAAGGAATCTAAATTTATTCGTTGGTTTTACTTTAAATAATTGTATATTATCGGAGTTGTGACTGTTGATATAAGAACTACGTGTGGCTTGATCCCTCACCAAGGGGTACGTAGGTAGCCTGAGGTCTCACCTAGGTGCAGCCGCGAAATAAACTATATTTAAAAGGTTTGACCGATTTTGAGTATGTGAATGGATTTTAATAAATAGTGTATGTGGTTCTGACATGTATGAGATCCATTTCGAAATAAATGATTGATTTTAGGTTTGATTATATTGTTTAATGGGCCCGAGGTTCCTAGAACTGTTGGTGATAATTCATATATGGTAGTTGTTGCATGCTGAAAATTTGTGGAAAGTATTATTGCCTTTCTGTATGTTGAAAATTTGGGAAGTTATTTTATGTTGATTGCAGTGGTATTCGTAAAATTATTTGAGTTCCTTAATTTCATTGCTAATGTATTAATTGACTTAAGAGCATTGCTAGTTGTTCTGCCTTGAATAATTCAAAGGATGGAAGCATATTCTGTAAACTGTGTGTTCTTGCATTGTGTGTGCTGGCAGTTGGTTTCTTAAACTATGTTTTTTTTTTTACAGGTGAAAGAATTTGGTAAATGTCCGTTTTTCAGGGTAGACTCTGCCTAAATTTCGGCAGAAAGTCTCGTGCCCCTTTTCCTTATTTATTTTTTGGAAAAGAGGCTAAAGTTTTAGTAAGTGGGCCCGGCATCGGTGTGATGTTGGAATTTCTACAAGATTCGTCTCGGGTTCTGAGGAATTCGGGGCGGGTCTTGTTATCTGAGGAAACTCCCATCCCTTGAATATTTAGAGATAAGGTTAATGAGTAGTCTGGAAAAGGTGGGAGTTGAATTTTTGGGAATAACAGGCGAAACACCGCAAACGTTAATAAAGTCATTTACGAAATTGAAAAAACTCCAACTTCGAGGCATGGAGCAGTGGGAAGAATGAGAAGGAGTATAAGAAGAGGATTCTAAAATTACAATAATGCCATCTCTTTTATGTTTAGAAATCGACCACTGCTATACGCTGAAAGCACTGCCGAACTTCCTATGGAAGACCCCGCTGTGGGAATTGAGCATCGAGGAGGATTGTTCGATTCTTGCACAATGGTTCGAGACGAGATGTGGAATGGAGTGGGTAAAAAAGGCGTCTCAAGTCCAAAACATCAAAATTGATGGCAAATGTGTCACGACCCGACTCCCCTAGCACGATATTGTCCGCTTTGGGCTCCCCTCTCTGCCCTCACGGTTTTGTTTTTGGGAACTCACGAGCAACTTCCCAGTGGGTCACCCAAACTTGCTTAACTTCGGAGTTCCTAAGAATCCGAAGCCAGTGAGCTCTCAAAAGGCCTCGTGCTAGGAAGAGAAGTGCCCACACATTTAAGCACTTCACCTTTCCCTCCCCGAGCGATGTGGGATTGCTCACCGTTCTTGTTTCCCCAAGACACGGGTCTTACATGAAACAACCCCAACAAAAACAAAGAAACTTTTTGTTACTGGTATGTTGCAACTTTTATTCTGATGTGAAACATTGATTTTCATTTATTTACATATAATTGCTTGCTTGTTAATCTGATTCTTTGGAAGCCTAATATTTTCAAATAGGCAATCAAAAATACCCTGTAATGCTAACTATGTTTTTAACTCTTTACTAGAGTTATCCGTTGTAATTATTCAAAAGATCTCGATATTCTTCAATATGTGTAGCTTCTCTCTCCCTCTCATTGCATATTCACTTGAAATTGCTAAAATGATTTTAGTTTCTGAACAGGCCTATCATTTTATACATCTGAGAAAACCCTCCGGGCAGCATTTGAAGGCTTTGGTGAGCTTGTTGAAGGTACTACACTTTTTTTTAAGCATAAAATGGGGTTTTCAATTTGATGGCAGTATATGCTCATTTTAATTAAATGTTTGTCTCAACAGTTAAAATAATAATGGACAAAATTTCTAAAAGGTCCAAAGGTTATGCATTCATAGAATACACCACGGAGGAAGCTGCTAGTGCAGCACTCAGAGAGATGAATGGCAAGGCAAGTTTCAACATGCTCTTCATTTTTATAAACTGATTCGAATAAATCAAACACGTAGGCGTAGTCTTTCTTGTCTTTGGTACATGTTTTACATGTTCATAAAACAGATCCAACACTCTGAAGAGGAAAGCTTAGCCTATATTTTGTTGATAATTCTTGCAGATCATTAATGGCTGGATGATAGTTGTTGATGTTGCCAAGACTAGCCCTCCAAGATACAGCAGGGGTCAGAGCAGACCAGCAACCAGATGAAAGAGAGAGAAGGTTATAGAGAGATTTGTCACTAAGAATTGAATTATTTTGTGCCCAGCATCCTAAATATTGACATTGAGTTCATATAAGGAACTTTGTCAATACCACAATATTTTTGCATCTTCGAAGTGGCGTTCAGCTGCTGGCTCCTTGTACCTTTGCCCTTTTAAAATATGGCCCAAGCGTCGACCACAAGCTGCAAGTCATCTAATTTGCATTTGGGTTATCAATATGGCCCAAGTGTCCACCAGAAGGTGCATAGTGATCTCATTTGCATTTGGGCCAGGATAACGATGTAAGGCTCCAGGTAGGCCCTCACAGAATGGAGGCCAATAGCATCGAGAGTCAAACTTGGTAGTTGACTATTTAAGGACCACATTCATTGGTTTAAAAGTTTGATGACTCAAATGAAGACTCCTGGAAAATTCAGGGACCATTCATGATACAAACTCTAAATGGGTTGACTTTTAACTCATTTCATCTGCTCAACTTATGAAGACTTTTAAATCAAAATAATTTGTTTGGCTTTGAAGTAAGTTTATTTATGGATACTATAATTATTATTTTTTATTATAGAGAAATAGTACCAATAAGGTCACCAAATTTAGAAAAGATACACAACTTTCCAAGTGTTGCAACGAAATTGTTGAATTTCAGAAATGTTTATAGAATGGAAAATTCCTCGAAAGGAAATAGTACTAATATATTATGAGGATTTAGAGCCTCTGCATTTAGAATCTATATATTTTCCTGCATTAAATTTAATTTTAATCATTGTAATAATCTACGCATTTTCCCAACCTCCTTTTCTAAGCTGTAAAACCTAACCTATTGCTTTGCATCATGCTCTACATATATATATATATATATATATATATATAATACACACACACATATATATATAGTCCCTTTAAATTTAGGGTCCTTTTATACATCGCCACGTTTACAGGTTAGTGCTACCAAAACAAATATACATGTTCTTGATAATCATTTATTAACTGTAGCCACAAATTATTATTTAGACAAAGAAAAATGTATTTATATTGTCATATTTACTCTTTGTCCCTTTTTGCCTTCGATATATAGTGGCAGAAGTTCTTGAAGCTCATCATCATTGGAAGCACATCATCACCATCATCATCATAATCATCATGGTTCTGTGAAGCTTTTCGTTTTCGGGGATTCATATGCTGATACTGGAAATACCGGAAAATCTGTCTGCTTCATGGAAGGAACCTTATGGTATCACTTTTCCGAGAAAGCCAGTTGGTCGATTTTCAGATGGTCTCGTGCTCACTGATTATATAGGTTCCTTTTCTTTCTCTCTTAAGAGTATTTTCTTCAGTCCAAAAATATATGTTAGATAATGAGTGTATGTTTGCCACTATAGTTGAATTTTACTTTTTCTAGTATGTTTGCATGTGAAATATTTGACAAGAAATTATTCTTCATATATTATTTAAACATGGACAATTCAAATATATATTATATAAATATTTTTAGGTCTATTTGTTTGGAAAAATAAATTAAACCTAACACACATAAAATTAATTTTATAAAGTTAAAAAAAAAAAACACAAAAACGAATTTAGACAAGAAAATCAAATATACATCTTTGAATTTACATATTCCCTATTTGAACACCACATTTATACCCTCCGGAGGTGTAAAGAGGATGTTAAAGTGGCTTTACACCCCCAACTGTGGATGCTCTTACTACTAGATTGGGATTGTGAGTGCATGATCTGTTTATATTTTAATTTGTAATTGCCTTATTGTTTGTTTAACCAAATTCTAAAAAGAAAAAGAAAACAAGAAAATAACCAATATTTTATTTTATTTTATTTTAATTTTGTTTTATGAAATGCCTGTCTGAGATGTTGCAATGTATTGCAGCTTCCTTTTTGGGCATAAGATCTCCAGTGCCTTACACATTGAGAAAATTTGTGAAGAAATCAAAACTAGAGTCTGGGATGAACTTTGCATATGGAGGGACAGGTGTTTTTGATACAGTGTTTGGTGGACCAAACTTGACCACCCAAATCGACTTTTTCCAACAGCTGCTTGAACAAAAACTCTATAGTACCAAAAACGACGTCGTTAACTCGTCCATTGCTCTCGTATCAGTTGCGGGTAACGACTACGCTGCTTATTTTGGCAACCACACTGAGGTAAGTGGTTAAGCTAACTCTATCTGTTTGTTGACATGCATGCAATGTGGGCATATGGAGCCAAATTATGGATTTTGAAAAATCGAGATGACATTTAAGTTTTTCTTTAATGTAAGAAAATGAAAAATAATGTATGAGTTCATGTGACATTTCTTAAATTTTACTTAACTATTATTGTACCTCACAATTATCATATCTTCAGGATTTTGCAGTGGTCACCAAATCCATTATTAAGCAGCTTGCTGTGGATCTAGAGCGTATGCATGGGTTGGGAGTGAGAAAAATAGCTGTTACAGCAATAGGGCCCCTGGGATGTCCGCCTCGCATGACTTCCTTTCTTTCATATCAGAATTGTAGTGAAGTTGCCAATTTGGTTTCAATTTTCCATAACCAGATTTTGCGTCAAAAAGTGGAAGAGTTGAACAAGGAGACTAAGAAATCTTCATTTGTAATCTTGGATCTTTATAACGCATCTCTGTCTGCAATTATGCTCCCAAAACACCATCAAGGTAATTAATTAATTAACTCTTTGTGGTGAGCGGTAATTTTGTCCTTTCTACTACTATTACTTTCGGATATGTCACATTTACTCATCACCTTGCTCACCACCTTTCTAATAAAGGTCGATATCACCTATGTGGGTCCTCCTCATCTGTATACAAGGTGGTCAAGAAATATAAACTCATGTATACTACTTTAACTTTTTTTTGGATAGCAGGATACTCGACACTCCAGATTAATCCACTGAAGCCATGTTGTGTTGGGGTGAGCAAAGAATACTCATGCGGGAGTGTGGATGAGAATGGAGCAAAGAAGTACATTGTATGCGATAAGCCCAAACTTTCTTTCTTTTGGGACATGATTCACCCTTCGCAGAATGGCTGGCATGAAGTTTATTCCGCTATAAAATCTTCTCTTCGTCAATTGTATTTGTGATTTATTGTGTAGTTTAAATATTGACCCTAAAAGGTTGGTTTACCCAATATATCATAATAGATATAAAAGAGATTAATAGGTGGTTGGATTGCTTGATACTTTATCAACTTCTTTGCATGATAGAAGTACAAATAGTGTGATTTTAACTAGCTAGAATAAGAAGCCAGCAGATAAGATATAAAGTGATCCATAGAAAACATTAAAATTAGCATCCACGCTTAATAAATATGCATTCGCATATCTTCTTTGTGCAAAATAAAAAATAAAAAATAAAAACACATTCGCAACGAGCTACAGTGACACTCTAATGTACTTTTGAATTCCACATTTTCTTAGTTAAGCTAAAATGAAGTATTTTAACATGTGTTATTGAATAGATTAACTGTCCGGTTAAGCAAGCCCTGCCGCTAGCTTCCACCCAGACAAAAAATGTGAGCGCCTAGCGCGAAAGGTTGCTTTACAAAATATATATATAAGGCGCATTAGCGCTTTAGTTTTCAATTCAATAAGGGGAGATTTCCATACTATAGGTTAATATACAATTAGATTAATATTTTACAATTTACTAGTATTTTAGGGGACATATCATGCCTATTGATATGTATATTTGTCTTGCCAAAGTTAAGAAGAGGGGGGGTTTTATTAGACACCTTGCCAATGTGTCACAGGGGTTCTTTAAACCTAAGGAAAGCTGTGGGAGCTATTTCTTCCCACGAGGATATTCGATTGAAAGATTACCCTTTCTTCGTTGCCACCTCTTTCTCCCTGCAAAATAGATTGAAATAAGAGGACCACACCCAGGGGGTGTTGGCCAAAGGCCCTCTGATGCCTAAGTTAGTTTAATTGATTTAGGGAAAATAATAGCTAAATAGGGTACGAAGATATATATGTAAGGTGTAAACTGGGTGGCTGGAGCCTTGTGTAAAAGGGAGAGAGAGTATGGCGGCTAGGGTTTGTGAGGGATAATCTCTGCAAAATTTCAGTAGGAATTTAGACGTACCTCAACGCTTGTGCATAGCCATCTATTTATAGGGGCCTCGAAGGCTAGGGTTTTAGAAGAATAATTCTGCAGATGGAAAGGAATTATTCTTCCCTGATTTTGCGAGATTGGCTTAATTAGGGATTTGATAATTAAGGTAGGAATCAAATCAATCCAAATTAAATCAGGTAACTCCCAATTAAATTGAGTAACTCCCAATTAGGTCAAATAATCCCCAAATGGAAGGAAATATTTGACCTAGGATTTTGCTAGAATTTGGCACCCACCAAAGCAGCGTGCAATGACAATTTTGAGGTATCTCAACAAGAACAAGAAAAAGAAAAAAGAAAAGTGAGTAGGATAGCTAAGACCTCGGATAAAGAAAAAAAAAAGATGATTACCACGGGTCTCTTTAACAACCATTCCTAGATTGAATCGAAGATTGGGACCAATAGCATCTATGGTATTATCAAACGAGGACAAAGGACGGCCAAGGACCGAGAACAGTCTCTTTCCTGTGCTATCAAGAACTAAAAGAAGGACAAGAAGGAGCAGGAATTGCGGGATACTATAGAGATAGATGGCTATGAGACCAGCATAGCCCCCATCAAACAGTTGAGGGGGTAGCTCATAACTTAGTTTCCCCTCTAGATCATTGATCCGGGAAAAGATTTCCTTCCTTCCCTTCGTCTATTAACAACCATTCCTAGATTGAATCGAAGATCGGGACCAATAGCATCTATGGTATTATCAAACGAGGACAAAGGACGGCCAAGGACCGAGAACAATCTCTTTCTTGTGCTATCAAGAACTAAAAGAAGGACAAGAATGAGAAGGAATTGCAGGATACTATAGAGATAGATGGCTATGAGACTAGCATAGCCCCCATCAAACAGTTGAGGGGGTAGCTCATAACTTAGTTTCCCCTCTAGATCATTGATCCGGGAAAAGATTTCCTTCCTTCCTTCCCTTCGTCTATTCTCGTCTCAAGAGGTCTTGACGATACCCTTCTGGAGAACTGCCTAGGCC